TGTGTGTGTGTGTGTGTGTGTATGTGTGTGTTTGTGTGTTTATGTATGTTTGTGTGAGAGGGAGAGAGATAACAGACAGACAGACAGACATACACTTTGTTTGTGTGTGTGTCTTTGTTTGTGTGTATGCGTGACGTGTTTCTGTTGATGAGTGCATGTGCGCGTATATGTATTTACCACGCTGCAGCAAATCCCATTGTGGAAATCAATAAATCTTATCGTAAAGATTGAACCCTTTTGTTGTTTACGATCTCTGACCATACCGACACTCAATTTTTAAACCAGTATCATGGCTTCGCTATTCAGAGTTCTGGCAAACTACATGATGTGGAATTTCGTCATCTCACTGCTGGGCTACCTCCCAGAATCGTTTTCCCGCGCGTCCCTGATCTTGGCGCGCACAGAGAGCGGTTTGTCGGAGCTACCGCCACGCTGGGAGAGCTGTCTCTCAAGGACTGAGCTGGCTTTGGGTTTTGCCAGCAGCGCCCTCTATGTGCAGGATCACTTCTCACCTGACAGCAAGAAGAAAGTAGGCAGCGGTGTTGTTGGGTTTTTTTTTTTGGGGGGGGGTGAGGGGTTGCTAACCAATAGGTAGCTGAAGTTACGTTAAAAGTAAACCTGAACGTCCCCAAATCAGAACTGACTTGATGTAGTAGGCAACAGATCTGGGGTCATTATGGGGGTCACATTGGGGTTGGTGCATAGACTTGTATTACAATATCCACAACTGTCCACTGGGAATGTACCTGTAATTCTGGTTTACCACTGAGTGCCCCATTCTACGGTGTTTGAAACCAAATTAAAGACAAGGAGGGGGGTTGGGAGGGGGGATGGGGTGGTACACACAGAAGTGCACCCATACTGTTTGGCACACAATGCTACTATTCACATTGATCGTCTCTTTGGATTTGCTGAGGGCCCATCTGCAGCTGGATGTAGTGTCGAAAATAAGATAAAGGGATTTTCCTAAAGAAAAAGGTCTTCCTAATCAGACAGGGGTGGGAATGAAACTTTTTTTGTTTCAAATTCAATGGCTTCTAATTGATTTCCAAGCTAGATCGCCCCTTGTATTCTTGTCTCCCACTATATCAGTCTTTCTGCTTGTACATTGTGTCAATCTATCAGCCCGGGTTGGCCCTGATACCTAAATGGTCTAAATTATGTCGATGGGGGTGTTACCCCATCCTCCCACACACACAAAAATCTATCTATCTATCTATCTATCTATCTATCTATCTATCTATCTATCTATCTATC